AACTAGTACTATACTACTAAAGAACCTCTTGGTTTGAAAAAGCAATACCAGTAGCAAAATACCCATCTGCGTGATTACAACTACACTATTCCCAGCTTCAGGATCTCAGCATGTCCTGCTTATTCCACATTTAGCCCAAGAAAGATTATTTATGACAGCATTGCTGCTTTCACATCAGCGCAAAAACACTAGATGTAATTGGGTAATCAAGAAGCGAGACTATTGAATGCCATGGAAAGCCATGAGCATAACACAACTAATTATTAACTTCTCCCAAAAACACCAAGTGAGTGATGGCCAATATACTTAAAATAAAAATGGGTTTTCATTGTGATGAAACCATTTATTTCTTAGTGTTATGAACATTTAAATAACTTCAATATCCATTTTCAGATTAAATGTGTGATGGAAAGGTTCTACGGATGTTAAAGTTTCTTCAAGGAGCCATAGATGCCAGAGAATATGCTTTAACAGTGTAGTCTCCTTACAGATAAGATTATTCCTCCTCTTAAGCAAAAATCAAAACAGAAAACCTGAAGACCTACATAGATATAGTCCCACAGGAAAAGGCTGTTTTCTTCTCACCTTTGTTCTGAGATAAAGAGCATAAACTGAACAACAATAGCCCTTGATGCTCTGTGACTCCTAGGATCCCACTATCACCAAATGGGCCTGATCTATTCAGTGATATCAAATTTATGGTGCATAAAAAGTTCCATTCCCGAGCTTTTCACAGGCAATCAACCACACACAGAGAGCGAGAGAAAAGAATAGACACCAACAAAGCATTCAAAGAAACAAGGGTTTGTGTGTGAAAATGTTAAAGGGGTGGTTCACCCAAAAAATGAAAAATCTGTTATTGTTTACTTGTATGAATTTGTATGGACAAAAAACATTCTTCAAAATACCATTTATGTTCCACAGAAAAATGCAAGTCATATGGGTTTGGAACAACATAAAGGTGAATAAATGATGGCAGAATTCACATATTTGAGTGAAGTATCCCTTTACAGAATAAAAAATTTAAAAAATATTTATCATGTTTTTACCACTAGCCCACAGCAGTTCATTTAATGATGTTATAGGTGATATTTCATACTTGTTGAACTTCACTAATAATAAAATTCTGCCATCCTAATGACTTTTGATAAAAGTCCCATCTAAAAGTAATTTATATATGAATCTGCCATTAAAAAGGCCTTTGTCCGGCAAGTTTCTCCATATTTTACAGATAAACAAGCCTGACTGAGATTACGTGGGTTCTGAACATGGAGACTTATTCTGCTGCTCTTGCTAAGGTTCAAATAATTTCAAGCCGTTTTAATGTCATTATTATATAAATGGTGATAACCAAATTTTACTCCATTACTTTTATCTTAAATGAACGTTAACTTTGGAACCCCTCGTATATACACACTTATATTTTAGCAGAGCTTTGAGAGATTGCTCACAAGTCTGCTTTCAATTAAACACACTTTTTTTGCCCTTCAGCTTTTTATGGACGTCTCCAGCACTTCTTTCTCCCACTCTCCAGTTCTTTGAGAAGGAGTTACTAGGGTTTTGACAGAGGCCTACACAATCCCTCACACAGCCAAAAGGAAGATTGAAAGACTTAAAGTTTTCACCACTGAAAATCTGTCACTCATTTCTCCCCACCACTTCACTCTATCAACCTCTTTTCTTCTCACCCACTCTCTTGACTCTCAGTACCATTCATTTTTTTCCTCTCCTTTCTCCATAAATCTGTCATTCTCTTTTTTTTTTTTTTTACAGTAGTCATCTTCCTCAGTTCTCTCTATCCCTTTTCTCTCCTCTTCATGCTCGTTCTCTCTTTCTTTGAGTCAATGAGGAGTTATTGGATATTTGACACTTTGATACTTTCAGTACTACCATGTTCATTTTCATTCATTCTTTCTTTATTATTATTTGTATTTTTACTATGTACTTGTTTCAAATATACATTTTTGTTTTACTTTCTTTCATTTGTTCCTAATTTGTTTGTTTTTGTTTTCATGTATTTTGTTTTATATGTCTATTTAATTCATTTATATCATTAAATATTTTCAATGATATACATTTTTTAGTAAATTTTTTGTTTTCTCCTTCCTTTTTCAATAATTCTCTGTCCTCTATCCTTCTGCTTTCTTTCTTTATTTCTTTCTTCTTAATTTTCTGTTTGATTGTCTTTTGGCAAAGTTAGGTCTGTATTATGCCTGTCCCTGTTCTTCACATATTTATGCTATATTTAGCCTCTGTTCTGCCAAGATGCTTTAAAATGGAGATAAGCCGGCAGCCAAAAACTGCTTTTTTTAACTGACGATCATCTTGTTTGCATGCCCCTGAAAATAACTGACCCAATTACAAAGTCAACTAGATATATATTTAAATTTTATCTATGTATTTTTTTTATTTATTTTCAAGTCTGAGTTTTTGTGTCATTGAAAACTCTACTATTCCATTGTTAGCTTGAATATAAACTGTAGTGCTATAAAGTGTTAGCATACATTCAGCCTAGTATTTTATTTGGATACTGATGACTTAATATTAAGATTTGAGATCTAATTTGGGCTTTTAAAAAATTACCTTTAGAAGTATGAGTGTACAGTACAAAATGCTTCTGTATTATGCCTGTCCCTGTTCTTCACATATTTATGCTATATTTAGCCTCTGTTCTGCCAAGATGCTTTAAAATGGAGATAAGCCGGCAGCCAAAAACTGCTTTTTTTAACTGACGATCATCTTGTTTGCATGCCCCTGAAAATAACTGACCCAATTACAAAGTCAACTAGATATATATTTAAATTTTATCTATGTATTTTTTTATTTATTTTCAAGTCTGAGTTTTTGTGTCATTGAAAACTCTACTATTCCATTGTTAGCTTGAATATAAACTGTAGTGCTATAAAGTGTTAGCATACATTCAGCCTGGTATTTTATTTGGATACTGATGACTTAATATTAAGATTTGAGATCTAATTTGGGCTTTTAAAAAATTACCTTTAGAAGTATGAGTGTACAGTACAAAATGCTATTGAGTCATGAAAGAGGACTACAAACCTGTTGTGACACTAAAAGTGTGTTTGTGAGTCACCCATCGCGTAGCATATGTCGGCCCTCAGTGCTTCCCAGGGGCCAAAGACCTCAGTTTATAGACCAGCAGAAAGCAGACGAATGAGTCAGAGGAAGATAAAGGTCCCTTCTATTATTCATAACATCTTCCGGTATATTTGCACATAAGTCTGTTATAGCTTGCAAGAAAATGAGGCAAACTCTGGCAGGTCTATTAGAAGATTGATTCTGTTGTATGTAAACATTAAACATGTCAGTTATGATGCCTCAGAAACCCCATCTTATTAAAAGAACAAAAAAAATGTTACATGCTTCCAGTAACTATTCTGGGAGACATGGAGATGTATGCGCACTAGGCTACTCTTTTAGAAGTTTACTTAGCTATAACTCATTCTGGTTTGCATCTATAAACAGTTAGGCAGAAACATTTTTACAGGAGAGAATTGAGTTGGCGGGAAGCTTTCCACCTGCTATAGCTAGCAAAGCACAGTTGTTGCTCTGCTAATGTGTTTGTATTGATGCCTGAAGGAAGATTATCCTTGTTTTCTCACATATTATGCATTCATAGTTGTATTTTTGCTTGCAGCAGCTAGAAAAAGCACAATAGTGTCTCACTCGCTCTCTCCCTAACTCGATAAATCACAAACGGTGGTCCACCCACTCTGTTCTTACACTGTGTTGTGTTTGCCATTGCTGTTCGCTGACATGAGCATCAGTAAGACTTTGTTGGCCTTGCCAAAAGTCTTAAGCAGCTAATAACATCTTTTAAGCTATCTTTAGTTTTGGCTCTCTACAGTGTGCAACAAATGTTGCCCTGTAGACATTTTCATTTGATAAGATAAAGGTGTAATAAATTGTAATAAACAGATATTTGAAACTTTTTCCATGAATATCTTTTTATTATTTTAAAATAGGGCTCAAAATACGAATTTACTTCCTGTATGTTAGCTTTGATTTAGCTATTCTTTTTTCTAGCTTTAACTTTACTAGTTTTATTAGTTATCTAGCTTTTATTTATGTATTATTTGTTCATTAATTTTCATCTTTGTATCCATCCATCTATCTATCTTGCTTTCTTTCACTTCTCTTCACTTTCATGGCTGTGATGTGTATAAATAAATCATAGGCTGCTTTTACAAAAGTAAGACGAGCCATTTTACATGTCCCGCCCAAATTTCCAGTTCCAATACATTAACACTGTAAAGGAATCTGTGCTCGTCAATTGATTTCATGGGGTCTTTGTTGTATTAAAATTAATCAAGACATAACATTTAGTTTCTAAGCTGACACTTTTTTACCAAAGCAGCTTACAGCTCATTGTAAAATACCTCTAGATGTAAAATACCTCTAACAGCAGATTTTCCGTTTACTGGCTCTCTTATAAATAAAGAAGAACAGAAAAATGAGAAAAACAAGGAAAGGCTGACTGCGCAGATGGCAGTGGGAGTTACTAATTATCTGAGCATGCACATGTTAGCGAAATCACCTCTACCCTCAGCTCATTAAGACAGTAAGGTGGTCTGTGCATTCATTTTAATTTGCAGTCACTGAAAACATCTCCATATCATTTTCGCACCACCTTAACGCCATATGCAGCTCAGTGTAGAACAGCACAATCAGCTGTGAGTCAAGCACATAGCACTGCTGCTCTTGAGACTGTGGCTAATGAGAGAACCACTTAGCTCCCTACAAGACCATTAGCAATTGTTCTTGAGGCTCTAGCGCTATTTGATGTTGAACCAATGAGCATTTGCAGATTGATTCTGAACAGCCTGCTAAGCCAGCGCTCTGCTTTGTTTGTCAGCAGTTTCTAACATGAATAGAAGTCTGCTAAGAACTCTACAGACTCTCAAACTGTTAAAAGCTAACCTAACTGGCACCTCACTGTGTCTTTACAGTGCACTCATCTCGCTCTCTTCCCCTCTCTGCAGGAGTGCGCCGACCCCCTGAGGTAGATAAGTCCAACCACAGTGTTCACTACACTCTGCTCATTGCGTGTGTTCTGGTGGCGTTTGTCCTGGGAGCTTTCCTCTCCGGATTCCTTGTGTCCTGTTACTGCAACCACAACGTGAACAAGACCAAAAGGCTGTCGAAAGATCCAGAAGCACCAATCCCACATGCTCTATCCCTGCGCAGCCTGGCCAAGCTAAACGGCTTGCTGGAGAGCCAAAACAAAGACGAGAAGCTGGAGGTATCTTCACCCAAACTCTACAACTCTTTCTTTGCGAATGGAAAAGAGCAGGCGCATCGCAGGAATGCCCATCATGCTGCCATGACAGAACTCATTCACCCACATCATCACCACTCTGCAGAGCTCTCTGGCCTTCCCACGCCTGATTCGACGCCAGAGCTCCCGATCAAGAGTATGAAGGCCTTCAAGAACCAATGGGAGAAGAATCAAAACTGCAATAATGCTAAAGAACCCAAGTCCCATAACATGGGAGCATCTCGGCCAACCACTGGAATGCAGCATCAGATTTTCCCCTTCTCCCAAGGACTGACCAACGGACAAGTACTAGGTAGCTCAGCACACATGGAGGAACGCAAAGTCCACAATGTGGAGCGTGTGGCAAGCCAGCCATATCACTGCTACCCACACAAGATTGTGGATGTCACCTCACTCGACGAGCTTCTGAAACACATCCACGAAATCAATGTGGCTACAGGCAAGAGTCCCACTGTCCTCACCTCGTCAATGTCAGCCAACACCGGTCAGATGGTGTTCGCAAACCGCATACAGCCGCAGATCCCGGAAACAGAGTCTGCACCGTACTACAGTTCCTCCACGCTTCCTCGGGACAGTCTAACTCGCCGCATGGATGTCCCACCAGAGATTCCTCCCCATCATCAATCTACTCTAGAGAGAGTGTCCCGTCACCCGTCTCAACGGCACTCTTTGATAACCACTCCCAAGATGCCCAGCGGGGGCGTGGTGCCACGGCAACACAGCTTCAACCAGCGCAGCGCCCATCAGCCCCTCCTGCTCTCTCGAATGAACTCGAACGGCAGCAGTTCGGGTTGCGACGTACGGCACCCACTCATCCCTAACGGATACCTAACTCGCCAACATAGCTACAGCGAGCAGCCAGAAGTCGTCCGTGGAGCTATTGTCCGTCGGACAGCCTCGCTCAAGCCCGACGTCCCGCCCAAACCGCTGTTCATCCCTGCTAGCTCGCCTGTCAACCAGGCAGGGAAGTTCAACTACTGAACGATGGAGAAGAAAAGCCTGTGGTTTTTCGTAAAAAGGCTACTCGACCTCTCAGAACTGATTGTAATCATGAACAATTAAAAGACTGGATGAATAACTTGCCTTTATGGGAAACAAATCCTCTGGAGATTGGCTGCCAGTGTTGTTGACTTTACATTTGAACTATGACTTGTTTTTCTCTGTTTCATGAATATATTTGTACCATATTGGTATTGCTCAGCTATTGGCCATTAGGAGAGGAGGAGTTACAGGAGTCCACCTAGATTTAGGCTGCCACAGTGATAAGTGTGTGGCTTTACGGTGTTACTTTGGACGGTCTAGACAGGTGTCACTGATCCAAAACTCTGTACCTGAACTTTTATCTGAACAAGTGTGTACACACCTTGTTTGATATTCTGATCTTTCTTGCTTTGGCTTAACTATTCTGTTGATGTAGAGTTGATGAACTGTGCTGATTCCAATTAGAAATGTGTATATATGCATGCGTGTGTGCGTGTGTGTGTATATATATATATATATAAATATATATGTATGTGTGTGTACATATACATACCCAGTGTATGTATCTAGATTACTGAAATGGTTTAGCCCCCTCAAGTTCCTTCGCCTTATTTTGAAAGCAGATGTGCTGTTGAAATGCCCACACAACTTGAAGTGATCTCTGTAAAATCCATAAGCAATAATCTCCACCCCATTCTGTCCACTCCAGTGTAATGCAGTTATAACAACTCAAACTCAATAAAGTTTAAATTCAGATTAAATATGGCTAGAGAAACAGTACATCTGAACGCTCGGGCCCAAGTGAGGTGAATCAGTCTTAGTGTTATAAAGGAGATGTATGTATATACCTAAGAAGAATCTATTATTTGTCTATACGCTCCAGAATCAGTGTGAGGTGCTCCAGTATTTAACCTTTGTCTCCTCTGTTAAAATCATTCAATTGGTGAAAGTGAATCCAAATTTTTAAATCTCTTACATTGGAAACATCAAACACTGTGTCCAATCCAGGTGTGATAAACCGATAAAGCTATCTCTTCTATGTAAATCTTAAGTTTTTGTCTTGAACCATCCATGACCACTTTGTGTTCTATTATATATAGCTCCACCCACAGTGAAATCTGATTGGTCTAAACTTCTGCTCCATAAACATCATTGGCTCTGCCATGAAGCAGTTTGACACACTGAAACAGGTCGCACCTGGATAGGACACGGCATAAGAGTCCAGAACAAAAAGATTTCTTACTCTTGTCCTGAGTTATTCCTATATTGTGTTAAAATGTATCGATATTAACACTAAAACTGTTTTGTGTAAATAGATGAACAATAACTAGCCAAATTTTAATTGTTTGTGTAAATTTGTGCCTTATTTAATATGATGTGTTAAGGGGGGCGGCAGAGTGGGAGAGGGGACATAAGGAAAGGGCAGAGAGGCCGTCATTTATCTTTTTATTTTTAATATTTGTATTTTTTTTAAGCTTGGTTGTCTGTATGTCATAACTGTTGTAGATATATATTTCTAGATACTTTTGATATCCCCAGGCTGTGACGCTTTTGCATTTTGGAACAGCATCTACATAGTTTTCCCTCCAAAGAGACATCTATCCATCTATCTATCTGTCATCTATCCATCTATCTATCTAGCTATCGTTCTACCACTCTTATCATTCTATCTGTCGTTCTATCATTCTATCGATTGTTCTATCTATTATTTTATCATTCTATCTATTGCCCTATCCATCACTTTGTGTCCTTTCAATTGCTCTATGTATTTCTTTGTCTATCATCTATCTATCGATCGATCAATCATTCTATCGGTCATTCTTTCTATCACTCTGTCTATCCATGTCTATGTTTTCTATGTATTTTTCTGTTTTATCTCTTTTTCTTGCTTTCATGTTGAACTCAGCCTTAGTTTAAGAAACCTGTGTCTTCACTGACAGGTTTGTTCTGAAATGTATAAAGGGGCCGATACCGATATGGTGGCCGATATATCGTGCATCCCTAGATGTAAGATACGTGAACTTCTAAACTGCAGCGTATCTTCAGATCTTATGTTTAATGGTGAGAGCAAGACTTCTTAGTGTGTGTGTGTGTGTGCACGTGCGTGCGCGTGCGTGCGTGCGTGTGCGCGTGTGTGTGTGTGTGTGCGCGCTTTACGAGGAGACCATATCAGTTGGCTGTAGTTCAAACACATACCTCCCTTTGCTTTTCCCCAGTACTTCAGTCTGGCAGAGTAACTCAGAACAGTTCCTCTGCTCAAAGGCATCTTCATCTTCTTCTTCAGTCTGTCTTAAGACTATGATGTGTCTGCTTTTGCATACATTTTTGGTGCTGGTCTGAGATACAGTTTTTATCATGTACACTTGAATGAACCTTTCAAATTGGCTGCCTGTAACTGTGTGCTCTGTTTCCCCTCACAAAACCAAATGCAATGTCACATTTTAATAGATGGCTACCACATCATATGCATCCCAGGTGGAAAATGGACTGAGGGTTGAATCCCTGCGCCGTCCTCGACGGAAATCCAGAGCGAGGAGACTGAGTGGAAAGAGACTGGTGTAGTTTCTTTGAATTTCTATAGATATTATGATGGAAAGGGAACCGCGTGTGTCTGTTTTATCTGCTTTAACCATTGAGGTTTCTGTTATTGCACAGTGTAAATACAGTCCTGGAGTTTCCCAGGATTCAGTGCTCTGTTATGATTACTATTGGGCAAAGCCCTATGGATTCTCCACCTCTGCTTTTATGGAATACTGTTGTATTTTCCTTATAACAGAAATAAATGAAAGATCATAACATGCATATTGTTTTACTGATTGATCATTTTGCAAAGTTTGCATGCTTTGCTTATTATCTGACACTTTTCAGATGGCTTATGCATGTTTTGCAGCAGCAAAAAAAAACAAACACATTTGGTTGTAGTCAATGTCTCCCAGCTCTCATGATGAAAAAATACAGCTGATTCTGGTGTTGTTGGCCAATCTCAGCTGAATTACAAGGATGCAATGGATGATGTTTACCATACCTCTCAAGGGCCAAAAATGACTTAATAGCCAATTAGTTCCTCTGGGCCCTTGAATTGTAGGTGAATATATATTAAAAGTGACGTCTATGGCTCTCTAGCCAAATCGGGAGTGCATGGAATTTATGCTTTAACAATGGTTACAAGTTTACAGCACAGTTCTACAATACAATTAGTGGAAAAAGTTAAAGATGAGGGTTCTGCTTCTCCACATGAATATACATATGCCTGTTTCACACACATTAAAATCCTCTGGTAAGCAAGATGTGCTTTACATTTCACTGCATACAAGAATCTGTGCTTTACTTTCAAATTCAAGATTTTTACCATTTCACTACTGTTTTCTCAATATGTCTCAGATAAGCTCCACTCTGAGAGAAAATAAAGAGCATGAACTTGATTCATGATACGGTGCACCTTGTTTAAATGGTGTCTGGTTCTCTGTTCTTGTTCAAAAGATTCAAGTCTGCTGCCTTCCCTGTTCAAAGGTTCTGCTGGCTACAGATCTAAAGGAAGTTCTGAAGGCAAACAGCACAAAATTAACTTGCTTTCACTGTAAATCTGTGTTGTTATTTGCTCTGTTGTTGTGGCTTCATTGTCTTCTCATTGATTCAGCTCTACAGTGCCACATATTGGTAATATTTGTGCTTATCTTTGCTTTAAATCATTCCTGTCTCTGTAAAAGATTAAGGAAAGCTCACCAGAATCATTGCTTTCACTGAGCTTCTTCAGGTCTAAAAGCAACTGCTCATACCCGTCCAGCCAAAGTAAGCAAGGCAGAACCTGTTCGGTTTCCCACAGTTACTTGGAAATTGAGAAAACAGTCCCTTATGGGCACTCAAAATCTCACACCCTCAACTTTATTTATCCACAGATTTGTCGTATTAGGTAATTTTGCAACAAGTTATGATTTTCTATCATACTACTCTATGTGGTGCTCACTTCCCCACTTCCTATCCATAAAGACTGTGGTGCAGATACGTGGCTCTGGATTCAGCGGACACACTAACTGCAGGTTGTCTGACAGGTGGAGCTGAACAGTCTCAGCTATTACCCACAGTTCTTAGTTCAGTAGTCATCAGGTGTCATCAAGAGAGCTACTACCTGATATCACCCCCTTGAGAATCATCACATTCACGTCTCCTGGTTCTCCCTCCATTTTATTTAGCTCTCTCTTGCTTTCACTAGTTGGCTGTGTTTCTCTGGCTGGTTGTCAGCGCTCTGAGAGCGAGAGGGCATTAGAGAGATGTATTCTGGGAGTCGGAATGAATGGTTTTCATCTTAGAACTGTCAAGAGCAGCCCAACCTTTCTGTAGATAAAATTGCATGCATTTTGTTGTTCGATATACAGAATTTCATCATCGCTGGTGGAGAACAGCTATGGTATATAGTCTGTTCATTGGATCTAAAGGAAAAGGGGGCCCACAAAAATTTAATCCTGGGCCCTGTGAATAGTAGCGATGAACCTGCTCAACATCTGCTGTTCACTCAACCCAGAAAGGTTTTTGTGAAAATGCTGTGGTGGATTGTAGTGATATATTCGGCTGCTTGAGTTTGTTTGTCAGCGTATGGTCTGTATTTTTTTTGTTTGTTTGTTTGTTTCACAATAACACAGCTGAAAGGATATATATACAGATCATTGCATGACAATAGACACTGCTGACATTGCGACATGCAACTCTGCTGACTACATATGTTTGTGTGTCTGTGTGTGTGTTTGCACTCATAGACTCATTGTATGATATGGGGTGCTATGTAGCTGTTGATGGATAAAATGAAATTTCTCAATATGTGCCAAGTGTATTGTTTATTATTATGAGGGCTTTTTTCTAGCCGTATATAAAATCGGATGTCAAATACATAAATAAATTCCCTAACATAATTTCTCAATCTAAATAATTGGATTGAGAATGTATTACCTCGTACCCGTAAAATTAACTCCGCATCAACAGATATTTTATGTGATATTATATGTGCCTATAGACCAGAAAGGGGCTTGAATATAACAAAATTAATTTTGAATAGAAAAAAAAAAATTTTGCATGACTTTTCTTGTTACTTTTCTCTGCCATTATTGCTTCATTTCTAACCTTGGTATCTTAATTTAAGGCATCACCAGTAAATCCCTGCTATGCTTAGAAACATTCTTGTTTGCTTTCAAGTCTCTCTTGTAAAGAGTTTTTTCCCCATTATCTTTCTCTGTATGCTCTCTTTTGCTGTTGTGTCTTGTATCTGTGAGATCATCTTGAAGGTTTTAGCTGATAGTCATGGTTATGATATTGCTGCCGTGTTTGGCATAATATACGATGTTACACTCCTTCATTTGCATTATTTTTATTACAAAGAGATGGATGGTTCTGATATTAAAAATTCCTCCCATTTATTGTTTGTTATTATTGTTTTCTACTGGGAATGTGGGTTGTTGTATCATTCATGTTGATTCATGGTGTTTACTGTAAATGAAGAACGTTAAAAATACTCCTTGTACTTTATGAAACCGAACTTGCTATTTTAGTCAGGCAATATATTATTGCTGAGGCCTTCCACATAGACTGATATCAGATATTAAGTATTTGTGTTTCCCTAGACTGAGCTGTAGTTAAAACAATAATGTTCACCTTCAGTTATAAGTGGTTATCAGTTTATACATCAGTGTACAACATTGAATATACAGTACTGAATCTCTCAACTGATTCATTCAAAACTTGTTCAGGAACATAACAACTAACGGTCTGTATGAACTGGTCACTGAATCATTTATTCAACCGATTCATTCGACAACACTGATTCAGTCAGGAGCGAAAGAAGTTATATAAATTACAGTATATACTTATCCGATTCATTTAACAACACTTCCACTGCATTAAGGACTGAAGGACTCATTCCAATGCCCTACTCCCTTCGAAGGGTGGGTCTACCCTCAGACTAAACTGTATCATCTTGTCGAGCCAATTAGAAAGGAGACGTCATCACAATTAAAGGTGCAGTATGTAACATTGACAGCTAGCAGTTCGAATGGGTACTGCAGTCCAAATTCTAAATACTGGAAAGACTTGTTTCTCCCGCCCCTCCTCCTCAGATTTGATGCTCACACTTGTTGCCAGATTGAGGACACGCAACAGAAATGAGTGCAGTTGAACCTTAGCAGGGAGTTTGATTGACAGGCAACCTGACCAATCATAATGCTGAATCTGCCATTTTTTTATTCAGCGCCATGGCTTGTCGGACATAGCAACATTAATGAAGGGGGCGGGTCTTTGTGAAGGGTCAACTGACAATGGAAGGTGTCAAGCCTTACACTGTAAGTCAGGGCCGGAGTGGGACTCATTTTCAGCCCTGGAGTTTCATGCCTTAGACCGGCCCACAATTTTTTTTGGGGGGGGGGCTTTTTTTTTCTTTTTTTTTTTAAGTAAGGTGCTGCTGTCAGGGAGTCAAAATATAATTACGTCATCATTAGGGTTGCCAATTAACTTCAGAAATGGAAAATAAGGTCATAAACAATTGTGATTCTTTATGTTTTATTCTTTAAGAAAATAGCGTTTATTGTGGTCTTGTAGAAAATAAGTGTTTATTCTTTAAGAAAATAAGGGACAGAATAAGGGACGCTCCAAATATTTGTACTGTACAATAATGTAAG